ATATTTATTTGTGCAAAATATACAGGTAGATATTTAATTATATTGATTTGACGTTTGTAATAATACAGTAACTATTTAGGTTACTAGTGGATGTTTATAAGTGCGTATTTTTCTCATTATTTTCTTATTTACTATAAAAACTACAACTATTTCAAATGTTTTTAGTTATAAATTTCATTTATAGACTGCCAATTGTTCTAAAATTTTTATATATTGAAATCACGAGACGTTAAATAAATTTTGCTATAAAAATAATTTATCACACAGGCACAGATATTTTTTTCTCAAAAATAAAAAAAATTGACATCCACTAAATTTGGATTTGTCTTTAAAGTTTTTTAGATACGAAATATAAATTGTACACCATTATGGAATTATATTTATTGATGTTTATGCTATGCTTACTTAAATACATAGAATTGAATAACTAGACGGCTTAGATGATTTTGCTGCCTTATATTTTCAGTCCTGTGCAATCAAGTTTTTCCTTAATTCTTAGTGCCACGTTTATGTACGATTATTTTATTACAACACATTTGTCTTATATTACAACAAAGTTTTTAGCCTAAATCTTTAGATAAAAATTAAGGCCTTTCACTTTCCGATCTTTTTACACTTTCTTAACGTAACACAGAAAATAAGTATATGCATTATTTTTTTATACATATAAAACGTAAGTAAAGTACAGATTTAGTACGATGCTTTGCAAAAAAGTAAAAGAATCTTTGTATAAAATTTTTTTTAATAAACAATGTACATTAACAAGTCAGCATAACGAAGTGCTACTAGTATACTGCATAATATAAACAAAGTGATGCTGATTTATTTATATACTTAAAACGACTATATAGCAATACAAACAGGGAAACAAATTATTTTTACACTTGCCCACTAAACAAAATCACGTCTTACTTTCACTGTGTAAAAGCATTTCACTTAATAAAGGAAAAAAGATAATGCATTAAGTAGAATAAAGGAAGATCAAGCACATCTCATCGGGTGATAAGAGACGCCAAGTGCAGATAATTTTCATTTAATATATTTTCTTTCGATTAACTTAAAGTACATTTTCTTCGTACCTTAATTTAATTATTAAGTGAAATTTAATCACAACACGAAATATAAATCTTACTCTTTCTCTCTCACTTTTTTTATTTTCTCGGAGAAAAAAAAAAAAAAAAAAAAGTATTATATATTACACGTTATCAGTGACCTTCGCGTAGTTAGATACTTTCAACTTTGCTGCATATTATTTACAAGTATAAAATTAATCGTCTTATAATTACAATAGACTTCGCATACACTAACACGTAACGAGTACATAAGAGCCCCAGGACCCCGTACACTTTTGTACACAAAAACTTTGCGCGCTCACTCGCGGACGGGATTCTGTTTCATTGAATCACGTAGACCCCATATTTTTGTCCACAAAAATCGTTCTGTAATCCACCCAATATCTTTCATTTCTGTACATGCACGTTATATACAAAAACTTACAGCCTCTGTAGGGGAAAAGATCGATCAAGTGAGACACAAGTAGGGATATTCCATTCAGTCGGCTGGCCTCGCCTGTTCCGCTGACTGTTCGGACTGCAGCCGATCAATGCTGTAGCGGTTGTACTGACGATACGGCGTGCGCGCTTGATCGTTATCCGTAATGACCCGCGTCCGGTGAGGCACGAGATTCTCGTAGCGGCCCATCAGCCAGTCCTGACAGAGCCTATGTTGCGAGTCCACTATGTTCTTGCTTGCCCACTTGAAATGCCATTCCTGAAATTTGGAGCACTTGTCCTTTGTCACTTTCCGATGGCTCTGAAATTCATGAAAAAAAAAAAAAAAAAAAAAACATAAATATTTATCATTATACATTTTCATCATTTAATGTGTAAGCAACTGACCTGCTTTGCTTGAGTAAAACAGCCTTTTTTGTACAAGTATGCGTTCTTTTCCACGATAAAAGTAATTTGATAATTATTAAAAACACATTGAGTCTCATCGGACAAAACCAAGTCGGATTCATCCGTTGATTTGACTCCATATGACTTTTTACCATCCGTACTGAAAAATGTTTAACATCATCTATAGCAAATCAATTAACACGTTGAATTAGCATTAAAAAAANAAAAAAAAAAAGGCTTGTGAGTTAAAAATTTTTTTGCATCTGTGATTGTTTTTAAAGTCAATTCCATCAGAGACGCATATGCGTATCAATAGTACCCGTTGTTTATTTCGAATACATAGATAGACATTTATAATATAAAACAAATTTTTACAGACTCACGGTAACACAATAAACCCTTGTGTAAAAACAACGGGCTTCTGATTTGATACTTCACGTTTGCGTCACAGGATCATGAACACTGAATCTTCTCCAACATCTTCTCTTGCAAATGTAAGTTACGTTAAACTGTCAAGATATCAATAAATAAAAAATAATATTTCAATCGAGGAACAAAAATTGAAGAGCAAAAACTTTTTCAGTGCTCCAGGTGAAAGGAAAAAAGAAAAAAAAAATCCCAAAGCCAAAATCGAGCGAAAATTGGTGAGCTCCTTAAAAAACAATCTCATTTAGAGCAGAGCCTATACTTAGATTCTGTATCCCATCTCACTGTGTATACATAACTTGTTATATTGCAAATTATGGCAGCAAAGGTCCAGCATTACGACCCGCCGAGCTCAGCGAGCTCGGAAAACGACGACTGCGAGCCGAGTCTAGATGATAGAGAGATATTCCTCGAGGAGTTCTCGGAGGATAACCGGCGCGACGGTATGGGCACCCCGACGCCAGCACCGCCGTCCCCGAGACCGCCGTCGGCCGGCTCTCAAAAGTCACCGCGCTCGCGCCGTCAGAGAAGCACCAGTTGCTCCCAGTCGAACAAAAAGACGGCCAGACAGTCGATACTTCAGAGTAAGACCAGAACGATTTACACGGCGGGCAGACCTCCCTGGTACAATTCGGCCGGACAACAGGTCGAGCCCTTCGTAATCGGTATATGCGGAGGCAGTGCCTCCGGAAAGACGACAGTCGCCACCAAAATCATAGAGTCTCTCGACGTGCCCTGGGTCACTTTGCTCAGCATGGATTCGTTCTACAAGGTTTTGAACGAAAAACAACACGAGCAAGCGGCCCGCAACGAGTACAACTTTGACCATCCGGACGCTTTCGACTTTGAGCTGCTTAAGGCGACGCTCCAGAGGCTTAAAGAGGGACGGAAGGTTGAGGTGCCGATTTATAATTTCGTGACGCACAGTCGGGAGATGAGGACGAAAACGATGTACGGCGCCAACGTGATCATATTCGAGGGCATATTGACGTTTTACAACGCCGACGTGCTTAAGATGTGCGACATGAAGGTTTTCGTCGACACGGACGCGGACGTCAGACTGGCCCGACGCCTCAAAAGGGACATATGCCAAAGGGGCAGGGACCTCGAGGGCGTGCTCAAGCAGTACAGCACGATGGTCAAGCCTTCGTTCTACTACTACATCGCCCCTATGATGGTTCACGCCGATATAATAGTGCCGCGGGGTGGCGAGAACGAGGTGGCGATCGAGCTGATAGTCCAGCACGTGCACACTCAGCTGCTGCTGAGAGGCTTCAAATTGAGGGAAAAGCTCGCGCACTCGTACATCGGCCAGCCGTTACCTGATTCCCTGTACTTGCTTCCCGATACGCCGCAGATCAAGGGCCTGCACTCATTCATCAGGAACAAGAACACCCACAGGGACGAGTTTATATTTTACTCGAAGCGCCTTATTAGACTGGTCATAGAGTATGCCTTGTCGCTTTTGCCGTTCAAGGAAATCACCGTGGAGACTCCTCAAGGGGTTCAGTACGTCGGTAAGCGGAGCGCCTCGGATAGAATTTGCGGGGTCTCGATCTTGCGTGCCGGCGAAACGATGGAACAGGCCGTAAGAGACGTCTGCAAGGATATACGGATCGGTAAAATCCTCATACAGACGAATCTTCAGACCGGAGAGCCAGAGCTGTATTATTTGCGTTTGCCAAAGGACATTAAGGATTATAGAGTCATACTGATGGACGCGACGGTGGCTACCGGTGCTGCGGCTATGATGGCCATAAGGGTGCTGCTGGACCACGACGTGGCCGAGGACAACATAATGCTGGTCTCGCTACTGATGGCCGAGTCGGGCGTGCACTCGATAGCCTATGCCTTTCCGAATGTAAAAATAGTGACTTCTGCACTAGATCCAGAAATAAATGAAAAGTTCTACGTGCTGCCTGGCATCGGTAACTTTGGCGATCGGTACTTTGGAACTGAGCCATCGTCCGTTGACGATTAAGTACCTACATATATATTATATACGTAGCGTAGAATTTTTTTAACGCGCCGATTGTTTTTAAGGTTTGTTGGATGTTGATGATGATGATGATGATGATGATGATGATGATTATTGATAGTGTGGTGCAAATATATACATGTATTATTATCTTGAATATGAACCTCGCCAAGAACTGTGATTGTTTTAATCTGGATCGATTGTTCGAGATTGTTGTAAATAAATTTAAAAACTATGTCACGAAACTTTAATGCGTCATTTCTTTGCTCTTCGTATTCGTTTGTATGCATAATAATTCAATGTTGATAATATGTTTTCCACTATTTCCTAATTGTAAACAACTAACTCACTTTTTGGAAATTTTCGAATGTATATTCTCCATAAACTTTTCTCCCTTATGGGTACAATAATGAAACCATCGCCAACAAGACGATGTTTATTTTAATTGTCATAAAGGCTGACTAAGGAAGTCAACCTACCACCACAAACGTAAATAATAAATAATGTAGGGTACGAGCTTTACCTAAAAAATTTAACTCTCCCGCCCCGTCAGTTTCCAGATATCTCTTTCCTACATGCGTATTCGATTCCTCCTCCGAGCCACCAGAATCACGAGTGTTGTTGTTGTTGATGTTATTACACTCTCTATAAATTCTTCATTATCATCCGTTCCGCAATCGCATTAGTACTTACAGTTTACAGTCACTCTTCAAAGTAAGATCAGAATCTAATATACTTAAGTTTGAAGGACATTGCAGGGTGGATGGTGATGGCGTATAACGTCGAGAGGAGTAGTCCGATCGAGAGATGCAGCTGAGAGGAGGTTAGGGTGATCCAATCCCATATCAAAGAGAGATCTGTAATCTGCAAGACTGCATGCATCAACGGGACGCGCACGCGTGTGTGTTTTGCAAAAGAGCAGCAGCGGCAGCAGAAGATGGGCAATAATGTGGCCCGCAGCAAAAAGACCGGCGGTAGCGGTCACGCCAAGCCCACGGTTGCTTCAGCTCAGGATGACAAGGGCTCTGCTACCGGAGAAGGACAGCAGCAGCCGCCCAATGCTGCCGCGGCCACTGCCTCGATATCCCGCACCTCCTCTGGCGTCGATCTCCAGAGCAGCACGCATACCCAGTTTTTGCCGATCGACAGACTCGCTAAGGTATGCACCTATTATCTACTTGTCTTTGAATCTGTTTTTTTTACATTTTTACCGTAGGGTGGATTTAAGAAAAAAAAAATTATATTAAAATGTAACAATAATAATAATAATAATAATAATAATAATAATAATAATAATACTAATAATA